ACGAGAAACCGTCGCACAAATCGGCGGGCAATATTACTTCCCTCCGGCCGACCGTTGTTCAGGGTTCGTAGAAGCTGGATTTGTCATTATCGATATGCACTTTCCACCCTACTCGATATTGTTGCCATTTAACGAGTTGATTGTCATTCCGTGGACGGCAGTGGCGCCCCATTGGCCTCGAACCCTGTGCACGGAGTGCCAGCGCTTCGATCGTTACGAAGCGAAGGGCTTCCACTACTGAATACGGAGTGAAGACGAGCATAAGGAAAGAGTCACTCGGCTGAGACCATCCACGTCGGACTCAGAACTGACCAGCGAACGACGTCGAGATTTGATACGAAAACGGGACACGCAGAGCGTACCAAAGCCCTTCTGCTTTAAACGACGGGCCGTAGCACGGTGGGAAGCCCGACAATACTTTTTGGATTGAATTTGGATTTTTCTCTCTTCGCGCCTTGCCCGCGCGCGCATTCCGCAATGCGCGAAAGCAATCGACTTGCTTCATCGGACCAACACGGGGGATTTCAGTTTCGTCTGTGTCCCCACACTCAATTTCCAAAAATCCTTGGCACACCCCATCTTGCTGTTTTTCTAGGCCTCTTTCCGCACGCCTAACATTCCGAACGAAAGACAGCATAGGGCGTGAGGTTGCGCGTCACATCCTCGTCCCCAACACCCCCCACCCCACCCCACCCCCAGTAGGTGCCTGTTCCTCATCTTCCAGCCGCTCTTCGTCCGCACCCGAGTCCATCAAATTGGAGAGATCAATGGAGTCATGTCCCAATAGCTCTGTCGACCAGATGATGTCGTACCAACTCCACTTAAGCACAAAATCAACGTTGTACCTCTTCCTTTGAGCTTTATTCATGTCCCAATAGCTCTGTCGACCAGACCACCTCTCGTGCGCCTTCAACTTCCTGTAGTACTCCAAGATCTGGTTGAACTTATTTTTACACTGGTCGTCTTTGCGGTTGTAACCCTTCTCTCGCATGCGCTGCTCCACGATCTTCCAGAATCCCGCTTTCAGCCTTGCGCGGCCGTACTGCTCGGTCTCTTCACCCATGAGCACCTTAACCTCATTTCGAAATCGACATAGCCAATCGGTTTCGGTGTCCCCCCACCTCTCCATGTTTGTCGGAGGCGAGCCCGAGCGTGGCGGTAGACCCGTGGAAGTTCCAACCCTCGACTGCTCTGTCGGCGGCACTGCCCGGGACCCGCTGCCGGTCGACAGAGGAGACAGTGTGCCTGTGCCCGGGGCTGCCATCGGGGGGAAGGGGGAGGTGTCTGCTGTGGGCCTGATTGTGGCCCGGCCGCAACACCTCCACAGTCGATTTCGTTAACATGTGTCACAGGTGGAAGACCATGCTCGTTTTGGCGGATAATGCGGTTCAGCAGGTAATTTGACTGCGTTGAAGGACCATCAGATCGTGGTTGCGTCACACCGCCGTCCGGGGAAGTGCACCTCCACACAGCATCGCCCTCATGCCCAACCGGAGACAATGACACGGCAGGACTTCGTTCTTTACATTCCTACGTGTCACTCCCTCCAGACGCAGTGCCCGAGGCACCGGGAGTGCCATGCCCGATGCCGACAACCCGGGGACCAGGGTCGTGACACCCTCCAGACGTCCCTTCGCTCATGTCCACGGCCAGCCCCTCTGCAAATCGCATTGCATGCAGTCTCAGACGCTGCCTGAGAGTGTTCTCATCCTCACCTCCCACCCCGATTCTGAACCCACGAACAGGAGTCACAGGCGATGATAGAGGTGGACCACCTGTCACAGCATTTGAAGGTCGGAGGCTGCCGCCCGCACCGTCCGTGACCTACCACAAGGACGGGCCGTGGACCCCAACCCCCCCCCGCTGCTTCGGCCGAGCAGTGGAACCCTGGAGATTGACATGGTCGCTGCAGTTCTTGAAAGCCCGATGGAGGGGTCAGTGCCCCTACACTGTGTTCTGGCGGGTATGGGGACTGGGACCCACCGCCAACCACCGACACACCAGACTGCGTACCACTCACACCTTCGCGTAGGATGGTTTGCCCCGGGACCTGCGTCGACGGCAGCGGCCCACCATCTGGTCCGCACGGGCCGAAGTCCTGGGACTC